TTAAAAAAAAAAAAATATATATATATATATATATATATATATATATATATAATTCTCAAACACCCTCTCTGTTGCTCTCTGGTAGACTAAGCTGCCACCTCCATCCGAATTGCTGAAACCATCACATCTTTCAAAAAGCAAAAACTATTCTCTGTATTTCTCTTGTTCTCTAGCTTGCTTCCTAATCTAGTTGTCTAATAAACCTGTCATTGTATATTATGAATATTGTTTGCACTTTGATGAATTGCTATATTTCACCTTTGAATGTCACTTCAGATATAAGTGTCCGCTAAATGCATAAGTGTAAATGCAACTATAATATTTTTCTGTTGTGGACACTGACACCATTTTCTGAGGTTAGAGGACAAGGAAGAGGAGCAGAGGACTTTCCCATGGACCCTATCACAACAGTCTTTCCTTTCAGATTAAAAATTAACGTTGTCTCAGCTTGGCCCTCGATGCCTTGTATAACTATCCACGGCTCTCTCACATAGGGGAAATAAAAAAAAATTTTCTCCTTTAATTGTTTTGTTTAAACAGTCAAAATATCAGAGGATATGATATTTTTAATATATTATTCTTTAAAATAAATGCACAGGTGCTATTTACCAAAGATTACTTTGTAGACATTGTTGTCTACCATGTATTTAACATGGGGTGGGGGATAAAGACTTAATTTTTTACTAAAGCAAAGCAACATACCTTGATCAAACTGGAGCAATCAGACCATGTTTGGAGCTCATTCAAGTGGGCAGGAGTTGGACTTTGTTCTTAGTAGTTTATTTACTGTCATTATGCACAGTCACCACTTTATGCTGGAATGTTGCCTTTTCGTGATATATTCTGTAATTTAATTCCTTAAATAAATATGCAATATTTGACTAGATGCTTTGACGTTCATGCAATGATTAAACCCAAGAACAAATTAACAGTGACTGGCCAATAAAACTCCCACACTAGAGTCTGAGCCCATAAAACAAGCTGCCACAGGAAGAGCTATAAAGACTTCAAAATATTTTTATCGTTACTTTTAGTGTGATCTAAAAGGCCCCAACATTCATGAATCCATGTGTCTGTGATCTCAGTACTCTAGCCTCCTCTTGTGGCCAGACAGAGCAAACACATGCAGGAACAAGCCAGACCTCTCACTTGCACCATGAACTGAAACAGACCATGATAATGATAACACCACACAAAACAACATTTGTGAGCCAGGTGGAATCGTCTGTGCACTCAATTTGAACTTTGGCATTGAAGATATCAAGGGGGGGGGGGGGGGGGGAAGATAGCATCAGTCTGAAGAATTTTCTTTGTATGTATATACAGTATATATATATAATTTGTTAAAATAGATATGCAAAACAAATTATGAAACATGCTTGAATTGGTATAGAAAAAACGAGGGAAAATTTGCTTTAAGTCTAAACGTTTCACTCCTTCAGTGGCCCCTCCCCCTCTTGTTGTAAGTTGAAACCCTTGGGGGCCAGCAACAGATGCATGGGAGTGTCCTGCTGAACTGTTTATTAAATATTCATCATAAGTGAAAGGTGAGGTGATAGTTTATACATTATCACAGCATGGCTAAAGTAATAGTAATATTTGTTGGCTGAATGATGTGCTGTGTCGATTGCAGTCATTAAGTTTAGGAACAAACTGAGAGCTGATGTTGAGGCTCAAATGTTGCTGAGGTGAATATAAATA